TAGTCTACTCTATAGTCTAGTCTATAGTCTAACTCACTAACTTTGCCCTATATTCAAAATTAATATTTTTAAAACTAAAGAAAGCACCATAGATTTTAAAGCTTTTTAAAAGGATTTTTTTTTTACTTTCTTAACAATTTTCATTGTTTTTAATTTTAGTTTTTGTTTTTTCTTGCAACATACTGCAACCACTTTGTATTGTTTATACACGTTGAATGTAGTAACAAACAACCAGCCAAACAAATTAAATACAACAAAGACAAAGTAACACAACAACAAAAGCATCTAACTAACCAAGTGTTCATATATTTATCGCTCTGTTTAACTTGAAAGACATTTTACACACTTGCTCACGATCTTACACGCATGTGAACATTAGCAATGCCTCACTTTAGGAAACAAAAAGGAATTAATATTCCTTGTTAACGTAAACGTTTCCATTTAAATACATAGTAAAAAAAATTACACAGGATTAGACAATATCATCCAGGAATTCAATATTTTAATATCCAACCATTTACAAATTTTTCATTTTTAATGCTGCTGCCACCCTAATGTTGCCACATGTCTTTACTTTTGTATAACTATGTATGTGTGTATGTAGCTTTATTTAAGTAAGTAGTGTTAGTATAGTAACATAATCCTTTTGTATCCGTTTATATACACAGTGTAATTCATAAACCACAAATGAAAATAGCAAAAACAATACAAAGAAAAAGTAAAAACAAGGACAACTGCAACAACAACAACAAAATCTCGAAAATACAATAAAAACTGTATATAATTTATAAATGTTTAAAACAAAAGAACGTACTTACTGAATAAAGTGTTTTGAAAAAAACAAAACAGAAAAGTTGAAAAGGAAACGAAACGCAAGAGCTATAAAATAAATTACAAAGTATTACACACAAAATTAACAAAAAATTAAAAAAACACGTACTCACACACACATTGGAAAAGGAAACCAACTGCAATGAGAAAATATATACATACATACACACATACATATGCATACTCTTACACTGAATACACAGTGTGAGATATATAAATTAGGGCAGTAAAACCCTACATTTTGTAGTTTATATTGCACTTCATAGTCTAGTTTACAGTCTAACCTGTAGACTAGTCTATAGTCTAGTCTACATTCTAGTCTATAGTTTAGTCTAGTCTATAGTCTAGTCTATAGTCTAGTCTATAGTCTAGTCTATAGTCTAGTCTATAGTCTAGTCTATAGTCTAGTCTATAGTCTAGTCTATAGTCTAGTCTATAGTCTAGTCTATAGTCTAGTCTATAGTCTAGTCTATAGTCTAGTCTATAGTCTAGTCTATAGTCTAGTCTATAGTCTAGTCTATAGTCTAGTCTATAGTCTAGTCTATAGTCTAGTCTATAGTCTAGTCTATAGTCTAGTCTATAGTCTAGTCTATAGTCTAGTCTATAGTCTAGTCTATAGTCTAGTCTATAGTCTAGTCTATAGTCTAGTCTATAGTCTAGTCTATAGTCTAGTCTATAGTCTAGTCTATAGTCTAGTCTATAGTCTAGTCTATAGTCTAGTCTATAGTCTAGTCTATAGTCTAGTCTATAGTCTAGTCTATAGTCTAGTCTATAGTCTAGCCTATAGTCTAGTCTATAGTCTAGTCTATAGTCTAGTCTATAGTCTAGTCTATAGTCTAGTCTATAGTCTAGTCTATAGTCTAGTCTATAGTCTAGTCTATAGTCTAGTCTATAGTCTCTATAGTCTAGTCTATAGTCTAGTCTATAGTCCAGTCTATAGTCTAGTCTATAGTCTAGTCTATAGTCTAGTCTATAGTCTAGTCTATAGTCAAGTCTATAGTCTAGTCTATAGTCTAGTCTATAGTCTAGTCTATAGTCTAGTCTATAGTCTAGTCTATAGTTTAGTCTATAGTCTAGTCTATAGTCTAGTCTATATTCTAGTCTATAGTCTAGTCTATAGTCTAGTCTATAGTCTAGTCTATAGTCTAGTCTATAGAATAGTCTATAATCTAGTCTATAGTCTAGTCTATAGTCTAGTCTATAGTCTAGTCACACACACATTGGAAAAGGAAACTAACTGCAATGAGAAAATATATACATACACACATACATATGCATACTATATATTCTAGTCTATAGTTAGGTCTAGTCTACAGTCTAGTCTATAGTCTAGCCTATAGTCTAGTCTATAGTCTAGTCTATAGTCTTGCCTATAGTCTAGTCTATAGTCTAGTCTATAGTCTAGTCTACAGTCTAGTCTATAGTCTAGTCTATAGTCTAGTCTATAGTCTAGTCTATAGTCTAGTCTATAGTCTAGTCTATAGTCTAGTCTATAGTCTTGCCTATAGTCTAGTCTATAGTCTAGTCTATAGTCTAGTCTACAGTCTAGTCTATAGTCTAGTCTATAGTCTAGTCTATAGTCTAGTCTATAGTCTAGTCTATAGTCTAGTCTATAGTCTAGTCTATAGTCTAGTCTATAGTCTAGTCTATAGTCTAGTCTATAGTCTAGTCTATAGTTTAGTCTATAGTCTAGTCTATAGTCTAGTCTATATTCTAGTCTAGTATAGTCTAGTCTATAGTCTAGTCTATAGTCTAGTCTATAGTCTAGTCTATAGTCTAGTCTATAGTCTAGTCTATAGTCTAGTCTATAGTCTAGTCTATAGTCTAGTCTATATTCTAGTCTATAGTCTAGTCTATAGTCTAGTCTATAGTCTAGTCTATAGTCTAGTCTATAGTCTAGTCTATAGTCTAGTCTATAGTCTAGTCTATAGTCTAGTCTATAGTCTAGTCTATAGTCTAGTCTATAGTCTAGTCTATAGTCTAGTCTATAGTCTAGTCTATAGTCTAGTCTATAGTCTAGTCTATAGTCTAGTCTATAGTCTAGTCTATAGTCTAGTCTATAGTCTAGTCTATAGTCTAGTCTATAGTCTAGTCTATAGTCTAGTCTATAGTCTAGTCTATAGTCTAGTCTATAGTCTAGTCTATAGTCTAGTCTATAGTCTAGTCTATAGTCTAGTCTATAGTCTAGTCTATAGTCTAGTCTATAGTCTAGTCTATAGTCTAGTCTATAGTCAAGTCTATAGTCTAGTCTATAGTCTAGTCTATAGTCTAGTCTATAGTCTAGTCTATAGTCTAGTCTATAGTCTAGTCTATAGTCTAGTCTATAGTCTAGTCTATAGTCTAGTCTATAGTCTAGTCTATAGTCTAGTCTATAGTCTAGTCTATAGTCTAGTCTATAGTCTAGTCTATAGTCTAGTCTATAGTCTAGTCTATAGTCTAGTCTATAGTCTAGTCTATAGTCTAGTCTATAGTCTAGTCTATAGTCTAGTCTATAGTCTAGTCTATAGTCTAGTCTATAGTCTAGTCTATAGTCTAGTCTATAGTCTAGTCTATAGTCTAGTCTATAGTCTAGTCTATAGTCTAGTCTATAGTCTAGTCTATAGTCTAGTCTATAGTCTAGTCTATAGTCTAGTCTATAGTCTAGTCTATAGTCTAGTCTATAGTCTAGTCTATAGTCTAGTCTATAGTCTAGTCTATAGTCTAGTCTATAGTCTAGTCTATAGTCTAGTCTATAGTCTAGTCTATAGTCTAGTCTATAGTCTAGTCTATAGTCTAGTCTATAGTCTAGTCTATAGTCCTAGTCTATAGTCTAGTCTATAGTCTAGTCTATAGTCTAGTCTATAGTCTAGTCTATAGTCTAGTCTATAGTCTAGTCTATAGTCTAGTCTATAGTCTAGTCTATAGTCTAGTCTATAGTCTACTCTATAGTCTAGTCTATAGTCTAGTCTATAGTCTAGTCCTATAGTCTAGTCTATAGTCTAGTCTATAGTCTAGTCTATAGGTCTAGTCTATAGTCTAGTCTATAGTCTAGTCTATAGTCTAGTCTATAGTCTAGTCTATAGTCTAATCTATAGTCTAGTCTATAGTCTAGTCTATAGTCTAATCTATAGTCTAGTCTATAGTCTAGTCTAGTCTATAGTCTAGTCTAGTCTAGTCTATAGTCTAGTCTATAGTCTAGTCTATAGTCTAGTCTATAGTCTAGTCTAGTCTAGTCTAGTCTATAGTCTAGCCCATAGTCTAGTCTATAGTCTAATCTATAGTCTAGTCTATAGTCTAGTCTATAGTCTAGTCTATAGTCTAGTCTATAGACCAGTGATAGTCTGTTATATAGTCTAGTTTATAATCTACTCTGTAGTCTGGACTTTATTGTAATGTAATGAATTTATTGTCGCCTCTACTAGTCTTAAACAACTGCCGCCCACTGTAAAGGGAATTAAATTGTAGGAATTACCGCAAACAAGAACAAAAAGCAACAAATTAATATGACCACTCTGCACACACACCTAAATAAAGGAAAAAGTTTTAAGTTGTGGCTGGAAAAAAAAAAACTGTGTGCAATAAAAACTTTTTCACGATGTTGCACCAACAAGAACATGCGAAAAAATAAAAAATGTACCAGTTAAGAACACAACATATGGTGGCAATAGCCAGCAATAAGGGCGGATACATGATAGTTTAAAACTTCATCATTCAAATGTTCACAGTGATTGACGAACTAGAAGGCAGTTAAGGCAGCAAAAAAACCAATGTGACCAAAAACCATTAACATGGTTTTATCACAATATTAAAAACTCATATAGACTACACAACCAAAGATAATTAAATAACATTTTTTATTGTCAACGTAAAAAAATATGTGTGATTTTTATGACAACTAAAGCAACACATTTAAAGTTCTATGACATATTAACAAAAAAAAGTATCGCATTAATTAACTAAATTATTTAAGAACTTAATAATGCTCTCGTTTCATGTCTTGTGTTTACATTTCGTTAATAATATTTAGGTTTTATAAATATTTCATTGAAATACTTTTACCATAATTATGTTCATTTCAATAATAATTTCCATGAAGCATTAAATAAAATTGAAAACCAAATGAAAATGTCTTAACCAGTAATGTTTACTTTACATTCATTATGTACGTTTTTTTTTTTCATTATTTACAGGAACGGACTGTGAAGAGAACGTTGATGAGTGCATGTCAAATCCATGTCAAAATGGCGGACATTGTCGCGACCGTAATAACGGTTATACGTGTACTTGTCAACCCGGTTATTTGGGAGACCATTGTGAAGTTGATGTCGCTGTATGTGAAACGGGTAAGTGGCAAATGGTTGACACTTTTTGATAATATGTACATTAGTCAACAAACATAAAACAGTAAAATGAAATGAGGTTAAACGTTAACGAGGGTTGAAAGAAAAGTTCTCAGAACGCCTTCAGAACTTTCCAAACCAGTAATATAAAATTTCTTTATCTTCCAGGCACCGGAGCTAGATGTCAAAACGGTGGCGAATGCATTGAAGGACCTGGTCTTGAGTTTTCCTGTGAATGTGTCCCCGGTTGGCATGGACGCATCTGTCAGGAAGAAATCAATGAATGCGACTCCTCACCGTGCCAAAATGGCGGTGTCTGTGTGGACAAATTGGCCAGTTATGTGTGTGCCTGTCCCATGGGCTATACGGGGACAAATTGTGAAGAGGAAATACTAATATGTGCCGATAATCCTTGTCAAAATAATGCCCTCTGTCTGATGGAGGAAGGCGTGCCCACATGTTATTGTGTGCCCGATTATCATGGCGAGAAATGTGAATATCAATATGATGAATGTCAGCTGGGTCCCCGATGTATGAATGGTGGTGTTTGTATAGATGGTGTAGATACATTTTCCTGTTCCTGTCCGCCGCTGCTAACGGGCATGTTGTGTGAGTGTTTGATGATAGGAGAAGATTCTTTGGATTGTAATTACACGGCACCAGCTACCGCTTCTCCTGCCACTTACAAACCCAGACCAACACCGGAATTGACTACACCGAAGGGAGTGTCTACGACTGATATTAACGCATTTGAAACTAAATCACAAGAAGACATAGATGAAGGTGAGTCGAAAGAGACAATGGAGGAAGAAGAATCAATAGAAAAACCAGGCTCAGCAACAGTAACAATAACGGGTACTTCTACCACAGCCATTACACCTCTACATCCTACATCAGAATCCGATGAAGAAGAGGATGGCAGACACTTTACCAGTTACACCACAGAAACTCCAGCTTCTTATGACATTGATTCTAAAGGCAGTTCCGAGACACCATATACTTCACATACCAGTGCTTCAGAGGATGTAGATGAATCGGAAGAAGGCACCACAGTTTTCTAGATTTGATGTAAGCCCAAGTGGTGAATTTACCACGGCTAGGCCAATTATCACTAGTCATGGTGTAGAGGACTATAGTCCCGTCACGCACTCGGAAGAGTCCACAGCAGGTAGTGGTGAATCGGCGGGCGAAGATGATCATTCTGGAGGTTATATACATCCTACTAGACCTATCTATACACATACAGTTACTACTTTGGAAACTACCTACACTATAGAGTACACTACTCCTGTATCGCCATATAGTAAGCCCACCTATTATCCCACATTTGAGATACCACATATCACCACAAGACCGGAAACCGATAGTCATATTTCACCCTCCACCGAGACTGCTGCCCCTGAAGAGTCTGATGTCACCGCACCTCACGTCATTAGACCACATTTTACAACCACAGCAGCACCATTCTTTACCGAATACCCCGAAGTAGTGGTCACAACGAAATATGTGGGTATTGTAGCTGGCAGCGGTGGCGTAACAACGACAGTACAACCTTCCTATGGTCCCAGCTATACAATGACTACAACTTCCAGCACGGCTGGCTACGATTACGATACAGCTGAAGCAACATCTCCAGCGCCAGGCATTTCGGTAACCCTACATATTCCCGAAAATCGTACCTATACACCCTACACACCCACAACCATGCCTTCTATAATATACTATCCCACAACTACTTATGCTCCCAAAACTGTGGATTATGATACGACACCCTATCAACCGGATATAGGAATAACAACACAGCACCCCCCTTTACACTGACGATTTAACAGGTCGTCATATACCCACCACCTTGGCTCCCGCATACACCCCACCCGAATTGCCAAGTTCCACAGTTTCCGTGCCGCCTTTAGTTACGGCAACACCTACAGAATACAAACCAATTATTACCTATGTGCCACCCACGTTTACACAACCCACCTTTAGAACTACACTATCACCACCCACCTCGTATCCGGTACAACCAACAGAAGTGCCACAAACTCCCGTTACACCGAGTTTTAGTACTCAGGCTCCGGTAGTATCAAAAGCACCAACTACTGAAGCGAGCAGTGAAGAAGAGGAAAGTGCCAATACTGTGGGAACTGGTGCAGGTGGCACTGGAGTGGATAGTGAAGCTCATGCTGATTGCATTAAATATGGATGTTATAATGGCGGAACATGTGTTACAACCTCAGAGGGATCAAGGGTAAGTGAGAGTCTAACTAAATATAATTTTTTATCTATGATCAAAACCATCCGAAAACAGGTTTTAACTAAGATATGTTCGTTAAAAGTAAAATTAGCTGAATGCAAAATTTGAACTTATTCCAGTAGACGGGAACTACAAGTTCTAGTTCAGTTTTAGTTCAGTTCTAGTTCAGTTCTAGTTCAGTTCTAGTTCAGTTCTAGTTCAGTTCTAGTTCAGTTCTAGTTCAGTTCTAGTTCAGTTTCTAGTTCAGTTCTAGTTCAGCTCTAGTAGTTCTAGTTCAGTTCTAGTTCAGTTCTAGTTCAGTTCTAGTTCAGTTCTAGTTCAGTTCTAGTTCAGTTCTAGTTCAGTTCTAGTTCTAGGTTCTAGTTCAGTTCTAGTTCAGTTCTAGTTCAGTTCTAGTTCAGTTCTAGTTCAGTTCTAGTTCAGTTCTAGTTCAGTTCTAGTTCAGTTTAGTTCAGTTCTAGTTCAGTTCCAGTTCAGTTCTAGTTCAGTTCTAGTTCAGTTCTAGTTCAGTTCTAGTTCAGTTCTAGTTCAGTTCTAGTTCAGTTCTAGTTCAGTTCCAGTTCAGTTCTAGTTCAGTTCTAGTTCAGTTCTAGTTCAGTTCCAGTTCAGTTCTAGTTCAGTTCTAGTTCAGTTCTAATTCAGTTCTAGTTCAGTTCTAGTTCAGTTCTAGTTCAGTTCTAGTTCAGTTCTAGTTCAGTTCTAGTTCAGTTCTAGTTCAGTTCTAGTTCAGTTCTAGTTCAGTTCTAGTTCAGTTCTAGTTCAGTTCTAGTTCAGTTCTAGTTCAGTTCTAGTTCAGTTCTAGTTCAGTTCTAGTTCAGTTCTAGTTCAGTTCTAGTTCAGTTCTAGTTCAGTTCTAGTTCAGTTCTAGTTCAGTTCTAGTTCAGTTCTAGTTCAGTTCTAGTTCAGTTCTAGTTCAGTTCTAGTTCAGTTCAGTTCAGTTCTAGTTCAGTTCTAGTTCAGTTCTAGTTCAGTTCTAGTTCAGTTCTAGTTCAGTCTAGTTCAGTTCCAGTTCAGTTCTAGTTCAGTTCTAGTTCAGTTCTAGTTCAGTTCTAGTTCAGTTCTAGTTCAGTTCTAGTTCAGTTCTAGTTCAGTTCCAGTTCAGTTCTAGTTCAGTTCTAGTTCAGTTCTAGTTCAGTTCTCAGTTCAGTTCTAGTTCAGTTCTAATTCAGTTCTAGTTCAGTTCTAGTTCAGTTCTAGTTCAGTTCTAGTTCAGTTCTAGTTCAGTTCTAGTTCAGTTCTAGTTCAGTTCTAGTTCAGTTCTAGTTCAGTTCTAGTTCAGTTCTAGTTCAGTTCTAGTTCAGTTCTAGTTCAGTTCTAGTTCAGTTCTAGTTCAGTTCTAGTTCAGTTCTAGTTCAGTTCTAGTTCAGTTCTAGTTCAGTTCTAGTTCAGTTCTAGTTCAGTTCTAGTTCAGTTCTAGTTCAGTTCTAGTTCAGTTCTAGTTCAGTTCTAGTTCTAGTTCAGTTCTAGTTCAGTTCTAGTTCAGTTCTAGTTCAGTTCTAGTTCAGTTCTAGTTCAGTTCTAGTTCAGTTCTAGTTCAGTTCTAGTTCAGTTCTAGTTCAGTTCTAGTTCAGTTCTAGTTCAGTTCTAGTTCAGTTCTAGTTCAGTTCTAGTTCAGTTCTAGTTCAGTTCTAGTTCAGTTCTAGTTCAGTTTAGTTCAGTTCTAGTTCAGTTCTAGTTCAGTTCTAGTTCAGTTCTAGTTCAGTTCTAGTTCAGTTCTAGTTCAGTTCTAGTTCAGTTCTAGTTCAGTTCTAGTTCAGTTCTAGTTCAGTTCTAGTTCAGTTCTAGTTCAGTTCTAGTTCAGTTCTAGTTCAGTTCTAGTTCAGTTCTAGTTCAGTTCTAGTTCAGTTCTAGTTCAGTTCTAGTTCAGTTCTAGTTCAGTTCTAGTTAGTTCTAGTTCAGTTCTAGTTCAGTTCTAGTTCAGTTCTAGTTCAGTTCTAGTTCAGTTCTAGTTCAGTTCTAGTTCAGTTCTAGTTCAGTTCTAGTTCAGTTCTAGTTCAGTTCTAGTTCAGTTCTAGTTCAGTTCTAGTTCAGTTCTAGTTCAGTTCTAGTTCAGTTCTAGTTCAGTTCTAGTTCAGTTCTAGTTCAGTTCTAGTTCAGTTCTAGTTCAGTTCTAGTTCAGTTCTAGTTCAGTTCTAGTTCAGTTCTAGTTCAGTTCTAGTTCAGTTCTAGTTCAGTTCTAGTTCAGTTCTAGTTTAGTTCTAGTTCAGTTCTAGTTCCAGTTCGTGCTAATTTGACACCTTAATTTTTGTATTTAAAAGTGGACTTAAAAAAGTTCTTGAAATCCGTTACAAATTCCATCTAATGAAATACTCAAACTTTCTGACAGCATATTCACTGTAACCATCGATGTCATTATTAAATGTTAAATCAATTTAGTCACACATAGTATGTGTGTAAATATTTAAAGGTTCAATATTAATTCTTATTCAATTAACACGTCATATAGTCGTCAATATTTACTTTACCAACAGCCATTAAATGAAATAATAAAATCGATAACGAAATAATCACCCACCTAACTTTAATTGACCAAAGAATTAGAGGAAATTGTACCAAAAATTTATACACTAAAAATACACTAAATAAATATAAAAAAGTAAAAATATGAATATAGTTAAAATATATACATATAATAAGTAATAAACGGAACTATAGTTAACCCCCAGTGGCATTTTAATTTCATTTGAAACGTTTTGATATTAAAAAAAACATATTTCATATATCCATCTATATATTTTTCTGGTATTTAAGTCTTATTGAGCCATAATAAATTAAATTTAATTTGACACTTAAATATAAACCACTCACCCTTGACTGACTGGTCAAAACCTGGCAGAGAGTCCAAATGCCAGAAACAGAAGAGTAATATAAAAGTGGTAGAAGTTGTTATACAAACTACTACTACTACTACAAACCTCCCAGTAGAGTGTCAAAAGTAACCAACCACAACACAAATGAAATGTTTCGTTTTAAACAACAAAAAATTTATATCCCTTTTGGTATAGAGAATCGTAGAAAATCCATTTAAAACGCTAGTGCTGATGGTGATGATGACGAAAAAACTGGAAACTGTGTCAACGCCAAAGTCAATGTTTGTTAAATACACAAGATGGGGTCATTTAATATGTGCTTGTATGCTTTGTTTAGTTCATTCGCTGTAGTCGTTTTCAAAGTTGAATGTACGCTCTCCGTTAGCAACATTCAAAACTACATACATACATATTTGTTTCATTCATACCACATGGTCAGTTGATTTCAGTTTGTTGGCCTAAAAATAAAAAAAGTATTAGAAAGAGGTATAAGAGAGAGGAAAATTAAAATAAATTCATAAAATAAATTAGATATAATAATTACTAGATATGGTAGGCAACTATGAATTTCAAATGCCTTATAGTTCTAGTTCAATTCTAGTTCAGTTCTAGTTCAGTTCTAGTTCAGTTCTAGTTCAGTTCTAGTTCAGTTCTAGTTCAGTTCTAGTTCAGTTCTAGTTCAGTTCTAGTTCAGTTCTAGTTCAGTTCTAGTTCAGTTCTAGTTCAGTTCTAGTTCAGTTCTAGTTCAGTTCTAGTTCAGTTCTAGTTCAGTTCTAGTTCAGTTCTAGTTCAGTTCTAGTTCAGTTCTAGTTCAGTTCTAGTTCAGTTCTAGTTCAGTTCTAGTTCAGTTCTAGTTCAGTTCTAGTTCAGTTCTAGTTCAGTTCTAGTTCAGTTCTAGTTCAGTTCTAGTTCAGTTCTAGTTCAGTTCTAGTTCAGTTCTAGTTCAGTTCTAGTTCAGTTCTAGTTCAGTTCTAGTTCAGTTCTAGTTCAGTTCTAGTTCAGTTCTAGTTCAGTTCTAGTTCAGTTCTAGTTCAGTTCTAGTTCAGTTCTAGTTCAGTTCTAGTTCAGTTCTAGTTCAGTTCTAGTTCAGTTCTAGTTCAGTTCTAGTTCAGTTCTAGTTCAGTTCTAGTTCAGTTCTAGTTCAGTTCTAGTTCAGTTCTAGTTCAGTTCTAGTTCAGTTCTAGTTCAGTTCTAGTTCAGTTCTAGTTCAGTTCTAGTTCAGTTCTAGTTCAGTTCTAGTTCAGTTCTAGTTCAGTTCTAGTTCAGTTCTAGTTCAGTTCTAGTTCAGTTCTAGTTCAGTTCTAGTTCAGTTCTAGTTCAGTTCTAGTTCAGTTCTAGTTCAGTTCTAGTTCAGTTCTAGTTCAGTTCTAGTTCAGTTCTAGTTCAGTTCTAGTTCAGTTCTAGTTCAGTTCTAGTTCAGTTCTAGTTCAGTTCTAGTTCAGTTCTAGTTCAGTTCTAGTTCAGTTCTAGTTCAGTTCTAGTTCAGTTCTAGTTCAGTTCTAGTTCAGTTCTAGTTCAGTTCTAGTTCAGTTCTAGTTCAGTTCTAGTTCAGTTCTAGTTCAGTTCTAGTTCAGTTCTAGTTCAGTTCTAGTTCAGTTCTAGTTCAGTTCTAGTTCAGTTCTTGTTCAGTTCTAGTTCAGTTCTAGTTCAGTTCTAGTTCAGTTCTAGTTCAGTTCTAGTTCATTTCTAGTTCAGTTCTAGTTCAGTTCTAGTTCAGTTCAGTTCTAGTTCAGTTCTAGTTCAGTTCTAGTTCAGTTCTAGTTCAGTCCTAGTTCAGTCCTAGTTCAGTTCTAGTTCAGTTCTAGTTCAGTTCTAGTTCAGTTCTGGTTCAGTTCTAGTTCAGTTCTAGTTCAGTTCTAGTTCAGTTCTAGTTCAGTTCTAGTTCAGTTCTAGTTCAGTTCTAGTTCAGTTCTAGTTCAGTTCTAGTTCAGTTCTAGTTCAGTTCTAGTTCAGTTCTAGTTCAGTTCTAGTTCAGTTCTAGTTCAGTTCTAGTTCAGTTCTAGTTCAGTTCTAGTTCAGTTCTAGTTCAGTTCTAGTTCAGTTCTAGTTCAGTTCTAGTTCAGTTCTAGTTCAGTTCTAGTTCAGTTCTAGTTCAGTTCTAGTTCAGTTCTAGTTCAGTTCTAGTTCAGTTCTAGTTCAGTTCTAGTTCAGTTCTAGTTCAATTCTAGTTCAGTTCTAGTTCAGTTCTAGTTCAGTTCTAGTTCAGTTCTAGTTCAGTTCTAGTTCAGTTCTAGTTCAGTTCAGTTCTAGTTCTTCAGTTTAGTTCAGTTCTAGTTCAGTTCTAGTTCAGTTCTAGTTCAGTTCTAGTTCAGTTCTAGTTCAGTTCTAGTTCAGTTCTAGTTCAGTTCTAGTTCAGTTCTAGTTCAGTTCTAGTTCAGTTCTAGTTCAGTTCTAGTTCAGTTCTAGTTCAGTTCTAGTTCAGTTCTAGTTCAGTTCTAGTTCAGTTCTAGTTCAGTTCTAGTTCAGTTCTAGTTCAGTTCTAGTTCAGTTCTAGTTCAGTTCTAGTTCAGTTCTAGTTCAGTTCTAGTTCAGTTCTAGTTCAGTTCTAGTTCAGTTTCTAGTTCAGTTCTAGTTCAGTTCTAGTTCAGTTCTTTCAGTTCTAGTTCAGTTCTAGTTCAGTTCTAGTTCAGTTCTAGTTCAGTTCTAGTTCAGTTCTAGTTCAGTTCTAGTTCAGTTCTAGTTCAGTTCTAGTTCAGTTCTAGTTCAGTTCTAGTTCAGTTCTAGTTCAGTTCTAGTTCAGTTCTAGTTCAGTTCTAGTTCAGTTTAGTTCAGTTCTAGTTCAGTTCTAGTTCAGTTCTTCAGTTCAGTTCTAGTTCAGTTCTAGTTCAGTTCTAGTTCAGTTCTAGTTCAGTTCTAGTTCAGTTCTAGTTCAGTCTAGTTCAGTTCTAGTTCAGTTCTAGTTCAGTTCTAGTTCAGTTCTAGTTCAGTTCTAGTTCAGTTCTAGTTCAGTTCTAGTTCAGTTTCTAGTTCAGTTCTAGTCAGTTCTAAGTTCAGTTCTAGTTCAGTTCTAGTTCATTTCTAGTTCAGTTCTAGTCAGTTCTAGTTCAGTTCTAGTACAAGTTCAGTTCTAGTTCAGTTCTAATTCAGTTTTCAGTTAAATTCTAGTTCTATTTTTGTAATGGAGACAATCATATATGAAATTAATATATCCTGGTCCACTTGATAGCACCACTAAAATATATTGTCATACGAATGACAGAATGTGAAATTAATATAATTATACATTGGGGTACGCAGAGATTTCCGCAAAAATTACAGAAAAAAAACTATAAAAATATAATCTCATAGAAAACAACAACTAAAAACAAATTATAAATACTAGTGTATGGAAATTTTTATCTATTTCAATCTAGGATTTAGGAAATAAAATATATAATGGCAGTAGCACAAATAGCAGCAAATATTTATTGAAATTTATAGTATTAAATTAAATTTAAGAGTCATTTATAAAACGAAAAAAAAAAATGATAATTAAAGCCTATAAAGGATAATGTCAGTGAGGGTGACAACAAAAGGAGAAAAGAGGGATATATAAAAGACAAGTCATCGGGGGTCAGTGTTTTTGCAACACCAGCAAATACGCTTTGTGCATAAGCATTAGACCCCTATAATTGTTATTTAATGTTTTTTTTTTTTCATAAAAATTTTATATGAATCTGTGTGTGTTTCCTAAAATAATATTTAATTTCTATATAACACAATTTTGTTATACTGCGTGTTTGTGTAGGATTTTTAAAAAAATGGTTTTCTATGTAAAATTAATTTAACAAAAAATCTCTGCAATATATGTAATGAAAATACATATATTTATAATACACTATTTCATTTTATTTTATTTTTCAAAAAGTTTCACTTGCAAAAATAAACTATTTCGCTCACAAAAAACACTTTCAAATAAATTAAAATATTAAATATCGTTTTTATTAGTATTATTTTCATGTGTGCGATTGTTGCAATTTTGCACTATTAATTTAATAATTTTTTTCCAAAAAAAAACTTACACTGATATTAAACTTACATTGAAAAATTAAAATTAATTTACAAATAATTACATAGTGTTAGTCATGGCTAAAACAACAATATGTTGTAAAATGTCTAATTAATTTAACAATTTAATTTTTAAGAAAAAAGACCTCCGACATCGCCCTAATAGTTAGATTCTTTTCATATATACATGTTAAACTAAGTTACGAGACTAGTATTCATGCAATTTCTAACAGTATTGAAAAGGCTTGAAAGTTCAGATAAAAAAAATTAATTTTTCTCACTGTCTATATATCACCAAATATAAGATATAATAAATAATACTAATTATAAAAACTTGAAAATTTTTAGCATCTAATTAGAGATACCAGAAAAAAAAACAATTTAAATAACAATTACATTTTGTACACTACTAATTATAATGATTATTATATAACACATAGAATTTACATAGAATACATAGAATTTATAATTAATTGTATTTATTTATTCTATTAAAGTGAACATAAAATGTAATTATTATTAGCAAACATTTTTTAGAGTGTGACAGTGATAATGACAATAATTGCAGTATTTATATAAAGTTCAATTTTACAGCAATTTCAAAACGATTTAATTTTCTTTAAAATACACAATAAATATTGCTACATATAATTCACAGGTTACGACAGCTACATATTCCAACAAAACTAAGCCCTTTCTCGTAAAAATATTTTAAAATTAAAAAAAAAAAATCACACAAATTTCTAACCTAAAGGTAAATTTCGTTTTTATTTCCATTGTAATTGTTTAATATTTAAACAAAATTACATTTTACTGCAAAAATTCTTTTACAATAAATTTCAAATGTAATGCATAATAAATAATTTTACAGAGTTGGTAATATTCCTTCTCATATCCAACAAAGCCATAATACAAACACTCAGTAAAATGTTTACATCTTGGCATATACTACTGCAGAACTGAACTAAAATTTAATTGGAACAGAACTGAACTAGAACTGACTAGAACTGAACTAGAACTGAACTAGAACTGAACTAGAACTGAACTAGAACTGAACTAGAACTGAACTAGAACTGAACTAGAACTGAACTAGAACTGAACTAGAACTGAACTAGAACTAAACTAGAACTGAACTAACTGAACTAGAACTGAACTAGAACTGAACTAGAACTGAACTAGAACTGAACTAGAACTGAACTAGAACTGAACTAGAACTGAACTAGAACTGAACTAGAACTGAACTAGAACTGAACTAGAACTGAACTAGAAATGAACTAGAACTGAACTAGAACTGAACTAGAACTGAACTAGAACTGAACTAGAACTGAACTAGAACTGAACTAGAACTGAACTAGAACTGAACTAGAACTGAACTAGAACTGAACTAGAACGAACTAGAACTGAACTAGAACTGAACTAGAACTGAACTAGAACTGAACTAGAACTGAACTAGAACTGAACTAGAACTGAA